TTTTTCGAGCTAAAAGCCACACATCTCCTGCTACACCCCCGCTCTCTGGGTATGTGCGATGTCTCAGATGGTAACTGGGCCGGAGTCAAAGAGCACATGAATTCCAGGTCACCTGCTCCGTCATCTGCACTTTAGAGACTCAGAGCTCAGTGGTTATTTACCACAGCTACGCGTACTAGAAGAAAACAACAAAATCTATCAACAAAAGCAAAACAGGCATGATTAATAAGAGCTAATGGATTCCTGGACATAGACTAAAACAGTGTTTTCAGTGCAAACAACACGCTTATTATCATCCTGATATTTGGTAATTTGCACTAAACACATACTAGAAGTGAGCCTGCTGAGGGTCACATCCTGTGATCCACATATCTGGATCAAAATCAAAAAGTTCTTAAACTCCATCCTGTGGTGATGTGTTAATAAGTTTTAAATCATTAATATTTGTTCAAAATGTTGTAAAACATGCACCCGAAAAGATGACATACACCATCAGGATGTCAGACAGCTGGATACCGCACAGTCAAATTTGAAACGTTTAATTAGTTTAATACTAATTAAATTTGAGTTCAGTATAAAAATTAATTAAGTGTGGGAATGATTCACCCTGAGAACTTAGGGGTCTTAGGAAGGTAGAAATGAAATTTTAATAACACCACATTCATTTTTGTCAGCTCCTGACTAAAGTCTGCTTAAAGCTGATTCCATCCCATTAGACAGACATGTCCTGAATATTGTAACGTGGCTCTTACGAGGCTGTGGTTAATTCATGTGTGCATTAGGGTGCCCTGAGTTCCCCCAGAAAGTTTAATATTACATGTACCTTTGGTGCTCTTAAACATCAGAAATTATAGCTAGTTTCTAGAACTATTTTTTATTCAGAGCTTGGAGCCCCTCGTTATTTCGATAGTACGGGCTAAATTAAGTTGAACAACACAGTGCAGAGCAGCACAGGATTAAGCCATCGTCTGATTTTTGCTTGCCTTGTGTATATTCCGCTTTCATGGCAGCAGTTTGACTGTGTACTCATGCTTTTCATCTCCACAGGGACACTGACACGTGTGTTGATCTTGCATAAGCAAACTGCTGGTATTTTTCAGGTAATTTTTAGTCACAATTAACAGATCATTCCTACAGTTTCCCACATTCCTTTAAAAATATTCAAGTATTAGTTAAATTCAGATCCAGGTCGAGGAACACTCTGTGTTTGCCTCTTGAATTATCCATAGTTTGACGTATCACAGTAGAAAAGACATGCATGAATACAAAAGATTTAGCCATCATGTGCAAATTCTAATACAAATTGCACGCTTTTGTAAGCTTAGATGTCCAGAAATATAAAGCTGCTGCAGCTAACAGTGCAGCGTTCTCAGGAAAAAAATAAAATAAAATGAGTCCATCCCCCATGCATTTAAACACTGAGTCAACTCTGGAGTAGAAAATGACTTCAGGCAGTGAAGCTTTTTTTCTAATAGCATGTGCTAAATGTTGCCTGGCAACAAAAATAGTAAAACAAAAGACAACTGACCACTTGTCAGTGCTATGAATGTGTGCACATATTGCACAAGCAATGTGTGAAATGACAGGCAGCTGTGATGGTGGTAAGTAACAGGAAATGGGACCTAAATGCACCTACACCAAGCAGGAAAGGGGGGGGCAGAAAATTCTACAGGTATGAAGCAGAAAGGATGTCCTACACATCAGCAACAGCACAGTATAATTGAGCTTAAAATACTTGTTAATAATTAGCAACATTTATCAAAGAGCTAATGAGCAGTGTCTCTGTAAACAGGAACAGCCGCTAGGGGCGGGAAACTTACTGAAGCTATCTGGTGGACAGGTGCATTTGAGCTTGATATGAAAAACAGGAGACTGGGAAGGACAGCGTTTCAAGGATGGGTGGGGGGAGATGGTGCAGCCGTTGCCATGGCAACATTAAACACCTACAGTATTGTCCTTTGGAAGCTTTGCGGTTCATATCAGAGCTGCATATTGATTCTGTCTGCGAGGCGTAGCTGATGTATCTCAGCTTGTTGAACATCCTCTGACTTCACAGATGAGTGTTTACATAACTGAACTTTACTGAGCAGCTCACTGACAGCCCCTGTATCCCATGGACCGGGTATTTTAAACCCTTCAGTTACTTTACTGACTCTAAAATAGTTAAAACTGGGACACGATCACGTTAGCACCGCTGTTCACAAGTTTTTTTTTTCTCTTCCTTTGGCGTCCGCTTTTGGAAGTCCTCCGTCCTCTTTAAAGTTTCTGTTTCACTAGTGTCGCTATTAATGACTCACGCCAGTACAATAGTGATCAGTTTTACAACTTGGCTGGTGAGAAACCACAAAATGTTACTCTTTTTAAAAATTCAGGGTGAAGTGAGTTATGAGTAACGAGGAAGAGTTGCTGTCAGTCACAGCTTTGTCAAGAGAAGCCACTCTTTAGCCTGAGCAGCAGCTTCACTGTAGCTCATTGAAATAGCCGAAGGTCAGCGGCAAACATAATAGTGCATAATCAGAGAGATGTGACACTGACTGTGCTCGGTGACTTTATATTTAAAACTCGTGGCATTACACAATTACTGCTATTAAAATAGAATCTTTTAAATTATAATATTACCTATAGAAAAAAATAGCCTGTGAGAGTAAGTTTGTGTTAATAAAAGCAAACACTTGTGTGTTTCCTGCTGTTCATTTACATGTGAGTGTAGTAGCTTTACCTCATTGGTTAATAATGATCTCCACCACTGAACAACCATGACAAAATTTCACTTTAGCCACAAAGCTAACCATTGCACCATCCTCATTATACGGAAGGTTTTTAAAAATAGAAAGCTGTTGACTTATGGTGCATTCTCTGGCCAGGGGCCTCTGGGCTTATTAGTGAATGTCTGCTACCAGACATGGGTTCGTAAAGCATGGCTATGTGACTGACAGAGAAACTGGAGACATTTTAAAAGCAGAGGACTGAGGACAGTAGGACTCTAGGGAGGAAGTTTGTGGCTAATACTCTGGTGGTGAATACTGAAAGAAATATTTTTACTTGTGCAGACGAGGTGAGTTTTTACTATTTTACCAGCATGACCCTGGGTCACACAGTCAAAACATGTCAGACCAACTAAAGACATGCTTGGCATGACATAAAGTCCTTGAAATCATGCAGACAAGTTCAGCAATTCAATTTAGAGGTCTATATGATGTATATTTTTTCCCCAAAAAACCAGTCCCCTTCTCATCAGCAATGGAAAGAATGAAATAGGAAATAGAAGCATCCTTCAGTGAGTGCTTTCCAACTTAAAACGTCATATTCTCTTAAGTTTTGTAAAGATCAGAGTCGAATGTTGGACCATCAAATGAAGTAAGATGATTTGCATTACGTTAGCGGTGCTCTATTTTAAAACGGCATTGTTTATGTCTGTGCCTTGGGAACATCTGCTTTGCCAGGCGATTAAATCTCTTAATTCTTTGCCATTTTCTTGCTACCAAACCATCTGCTGCGATTTGTTTTCCATGCACAAAGTCTGAGCCACAATCTAAACACTACCCATGGGTGCAGCACGAGTTCTTGCTCCAGTGTCTACTGAGCCTTGTTAGATCGCAGTGAATAACACAAAATTTCTGGGTCGACTGCAAAAGGCTATGTGTCAGGCTGTTGCGTGTGGGTGAGAGTGTGTGGGATGTTTGGTATATCGCTTTCTGTCACAGCGTCTTTGATGGTGGCTCTCGAAAAATCAGTGTCATTAAGTCAATTTTAAAAACAATGTGCTCATTTAGCCCTGTCTCTTATTAGAGCTTTCTATACACATTTTCAGGTGTGTAACTGTATTTAGTGGCAGGTGGGGTATTGGGAATAATCATCTGTCAGCTAAGACGCATTGTAAATTTTCCAAGAGGAAATAGGTATAAATAATAGGTATTGTTTAAATATGCAATTGATAGCGTGGCAAACTAACGGTGGCTTTTGATCGTCTCTTAACACACAGTTAGCGTCATAATCAGGTACTAAAACAAGGTGAAATATGGAGTTACTTTCCATCCTACTTGTTAGTCTTTCACAATGGGTTTAAAAAGGATTGCCAATCTGCTGTCAAAGCATCAGCAGATAAAGACGTTAGGTGGGAGAGAGGGATTGTGCACGTGCATGTGTGTGTGTCATATGAAAACACTAGCAGATCAGCCTAGACAAGCTCCTCTCATGATAAGCCTCATGCCTCAGAGACTCGTGCAGATGATGTGATGGGAGTTATACTGAAGCACCCAGTCGTGGCCTCCTTCTGCAGTGCGAGACAGTGTCGGGCTTGTACTCAAAGACTCTGGGGTGGATGTACTGTGCTTTATGTCTATTGATTATTCAGTGTCGCTTTGATGTTTTAGTCACTCTGTTCACTTGCTTGTGTTTTCTTCTACAAAGTGTTAAGTATAGCTGTTAGTGTTCTGTTTCACAACATACGCTTTATGTGCACCATCTCAGGTATTTGCTGTTAAAGACTTTTGAGAGCCCACAATCACTTTAGCTTTTCATGCATTTTAAGATTTCTCACATGGGGTGCTTTTAATACAATAGGTTCTCCATTTCCCCGTTTTCATTTACAATGCATGAGTTTCATACAGACAGGCTGGGGAGCAATATACCCTAACCATCATATATCAAATTGAGTCATGGCTATTAGAGGTTTTGTGCCACGGCAAGTGATTATAAAACCAGTAAGCTTACAATGCACAGTCGGCCATTGTAAGCCAAACTGTTTCAACTCAATGCCGAATCAGTCCTTTGAGGATTATCTTGGCGTCCTGGCTTTAATTTCACTGCTGTGTCGGGTCAATTAGAGTTTGTAATTGTAATTCCGCTCATTTAGAGTGTTTGATTGCTGCTGTTTAAAGAGAGCTGACGCTAATGAATTTCTCTCACTATCTGTCTTTTTGTCTCCCCTCTCTTTCTGTTCTTGCCTTATTGGTTTTTTTTCTGTCTAACTCTTTCTATCCCTTCTTCTCGTTTTGCAGGTGTCTGGCCCAGTGATTCGACCCCAGACAGGAAACAAAGGAAGAGGAAGAAAGGATGGCCACGAGGGCGAGCCTGGGTCAGGATGTAGGCTGGCTGGTGCCTTTCCTTTTCTTGTTACTAATGATCACAGTGTCACCTGCCCAAAGCCAAGGATGTCCCCAGCGCTGTGAGTGCATTGCTAAGCTCAAGACTGTGTCTTGTTATGGTAAACGCTTGTCTGCACTGCCCGATGGAATCCCACTGGACACCAAGATCCTGGACTTGAGTGGGAATAAACTGCGTTGGGTAGAACACGGAGACCTGCTTCCATATTCACGTCTCGAAAAGCTAGACCTGAGTGAGAACATGATCAGTGTCCTGGAACCAAATGCTTTTTCTAGCCTTCAGAACCTTAAGTCGCTTTCACTGAGAGGTAACCAACTGAAGCTGGTCCCTATGGGAGCTTTCTCACGTCTCTCCAACCTAACTTCATTGGACCTTAGTGGGAATAAGATTGTAATTCTTTTGGACTTCACTTTCCAAGACTTGAGAAGTTTAAAGAACTTGGAGGTCGGCGACAATGATTTAGTTTATATCTCTAACAAGGCCTTTCTGGGTTTGGTGGGACTGAAGGAGCTGACAATTGAGAGGTGTAACCTGACTTCGGTGTCCAGTCAGTCTTTGTCTTACCTGCATAACTTGGTGACTCTGCGGCTCCGCTACCTCAGTATCTCTGCCTTAGAGGACCAAAACTTCCGGAAGCTGGGAAACCTGAGGGGCCTGGAGATCGATCACTGGCCCTTTTTGGAGTACATCTCTCCTCACAGCCTGCAGGGTCTCAACTTGTCCTGGCTGTCTATCACACACACCAACATCACCTCTGTGCCCACCTCTGCCCTGCGTAGTTTGGCTCACCTCACCAGCCTCAACCTATCTTACAACCCCATCACTGTGTTGGAGTCCTGGGCATTGCGGGATCTCGTAAGGCTGAAGGAGCTGCATCTAGTCAAAACCAACCTGGCAGTAGTGCAGCCCTATGCGCTCGGTGGTCTAAGGCAAATCCGCCTTCTTAACCTTTCCTCTAACAGCCTGGTGACCCTGGAGGAGGGAGCCTTTCAGTCTGTCAACACTCTGGAGACGCTGCGTTTGGATGGAAACCCTCTGGCCTGCGACTGCCGCTTGCTTTGGATCCTTCAGCGCAGGAAGACCCTGAACTTTGATGGTGCCTCCCCGGTGTGTATGACACCTGTTGAAGTGCAAGGACGTGCTCTCAATGCTTTCTCTGATTCAGCTCTCTTTGACCACTTTACTTGTCAAAAGCCCAAAATCCGCAACCGGAAACTGCAGCAGATATCTGCCCGCGAGGGACAGGTAGTGTCATTTATTTGCAGAGCAGAAGGTGAACCCACACCGGTGATATTCTGGATTTCTCCTCAGCGCCGCCGCATCACCACAAAGAGCAGCGGCCGCCTTACCGTGTTACCAGAAGGCACGCTAGAAATCCGCTATGCCCAGGTCACAGATAGTGGGACGTACATTTGCATAGCCAGCAATGCCGGTGGAAATGACACATATTTTGCCACACTTACAGTGAGTGGGCTGCCGCTGGATGCAGCCCTCATGGCCAACCGCACCTACTATGCTGGGGATCTTAATGACACAAATCTGAATGATACCAGAGTCTTCTTGAAGTTTACTCTGGACCTCAAGACGATCCTCATATCTACAGCCATGGGCTGTATCATGTTTCTGGGGGTAGTCCTTTTCTGTTTCATTCTGCTGTTTGTGTGGAGTCGAGGGCGAGGGCAGCACAAAAACAACTTCTCTGTAGAATATTCTTTTAGAAAAGTGGACGGGCCTGCAGCCAGTGGAGGACAAGGTGGAGCACGGAAGTTCAACATGAAAATGATTTGATATGTTTTAGTGTTCTCTCCTCAGTGCTGATTATAAGCACACATCAAAGTGGACTGCTGTGCTTGAAGAGCATCAACGTCAAATCTTTGCGAGACCTTGATATATTTCTATAGCTCTTTCTTGTGTATTCACATTATTGTGCAGAGAAAAGCTATATTATCATCGAATATGTTTTAAACTCTTGAACAGACTTTTAAAAGACCAATCGGCAAAGTCCCATCTACACTATCTTCATGCTCCGACCAGCTCAGTTCGAGGAATTCTCCCCCGTTTATCTCAAAAAGAATACACCCTTCTCCTCCGTCTGCTCTGTCTACAAACCGGTGAATACATAATATTAGGGTGGTGCTCAATAAATGCCAAGGACATGCCAATATGTATTTTAGTAGTTCCAGCTATATACTGCATATTTAGACTTATTCACAGTCATAAGTTGAGCGCAACAATATATTCGCTCTGCTTGAAGACATTTTGCTGATGGTGGGTTCGTACAGAATATATTACACTTAGAATACACTCTGCAACACTGCCAATTCGACCGGAAAGCACCAAGTAATATCACTGTCAGTCCAAAGGGACGGCAAAAAGAAGTTTCACATCAATAGTTACGGCTGGAAGTTGTTTAAAATAACATTCTACAGATTTTTAGCTACAGTGGGGCCTGGTGCACAGTAATGTGGTGACAAATCAGCACATGCCAATACACGTTTGCTAGTCAGATTTCCCATTGTTGTTCAGTAAAGAACTACAGCTTCCTCCTAATCTGCAAACATGTGTATAAAATGAAATGCATGTACAGAGTTGGCTTCTTACTTTGAATAACTTGTATTATTTGTAAAGGAAACACTCATAGGGGTGCATAAGATGTATTATATATTTTGTAATTACTGACCTTGAAGTTCTTGTGGTCGTTTATAGTACTGTTGAGTGATTAATAAGGTTTTAATGTTATGCTGTTATTAAAGTGTTAAAGTCCTATTCGGAATGACTCATAACAGTTCAGTTAGAAGCGTTTTTATTTTTATTTCGTTTCGACTGAAACACAACCCACTCCCTGAGCTCACTGACTCAGCAAATCATGAAGGGCATTTGCATCAAGTTTCACTTCGTTTACCTATTTGTAGCTGTACAAATAACACGAAGGCTTGTCTGACCTGTGGCTGAAGAAACTCTAATTGCGTTTGAGGCATTCAGTGTGAATGTTTTTTAAAAACAATCTTTGCAAAACTCTAAATGACACCAGCCAAAGTCATTTGAGGAAAGCTTCATGATACAATCAACAACAAAAAGCTGCATGATAACTGTGACTAACATTGATGCCTAGATGCTGATAACAGAGGTCACCCGCATGCCGTTCTGCTCTCAAGCTCTATCTCATGATCTGTGGGTTTAGGGCTGGGACCCAATGTCATTATCACAAACCATTTATTTCTGTTTGGCTTTGACTGCTGATTTCTAACAGTGTTGTTCTGCTGCCCTCTGTTGACTAAGACGAGTATTGTACTTTTCACTATTTCTATAGTGCAAGCAGGGTTTTACTTAATATTAAGTAATTTTTTTCAATTTCTCAAAAGGCAAATGTGGAATTCAGCAATGGTCGACCTAAATCAGCGCTGGAATTAAAAATGAATTTATTGTTGCTCAACAGTATACCCTGCCTCTTCAAACACACAAAACTGAGTCCCGTGTTTCAACAACATAGACACCGCACAACTAATTTTTCAGTTATTAATACTGAACTTTGAATACATCCGTGGACCGATCTCAAATCAGTTAGCCTTCCTGTTTGTATTTTTCAATATGTAAACACTTTGGTTTCAGTTGTAATTTTCTTTTCCTCCCCCCGATCCCTCCTGTAAATATGGAAACCATTGTGTATGGAAATTGTGCTATACTGTTTTGTACTGTACTGTTTTATAAATAATGAAGTCCACTGTTTATAAAGCATGTGATATTATCTGCTACAATCATGTCTTGTTCCCTGTTCCATTTTAATAGCAGCTGGCCAGCGAATCAGTCTGTATGGTGGTGGTCTCAGGAGCGTATCGATAGACCTGTGACCCACCCCCCCAAACCCCCATGGAAATTTTGTTTAGAAGATTTTGTGCTTTTATTTGCTTCTCTTTCCCCAGGAAGTGCTCATATTTTAATTTCAAAAGAAAGTTGCATCAGAAGGATTGATGTGCTATCAGCACCACAAGTAAAGATATAGAGCTCAGCAGAAAGCATTCTTGTCCGGACTTGATGAATGAGTAAGCATGATATAGTGTCTGGGGAGGGTTATTACTGTTCATTTTCTATGCATTCGTCAAAAGTTACAAAAAATAAATTCATTTTTGTGAGCAGATAAAGTCAACTCTGCATTCACACTTTCAGATGTGTCTGTTGTGGGCTTTCAAGATTGTTACTCCTTAATCGTGTGGGTATGATGACTTAATCCATGGCAGTGAGTTTAATATAAAACAAAATCAAGCCCTGTTAGTGTTCACTGGGTAAATGAATTAATTTTGTACTGATATGACCAGTTATCTGACTGATAACTGGTCATATAAATGACACTTAAAGTTCTCAGCATTTTAACACTCAGTATACAGCTTCATACTCATTAAGAGTCCCATCCATTTTCTTCTCCTTATCCAGTTCAGGGTCATGGAGTGGAGGGATCAGGGGCTGAGAGGCATGGTACACCCTGAATAGAAAGCTAATCTGTTGGAGGGTTGAGAAAGAGACAGTCTCATATTCACATCTGCAGCCAATTTAGAATCGCAGGTTAGCCTAGCCTGTGCATGTTTTTGGACTGTGGGAGGAAGCCGCAATGTTTGGAGAGTACCCACGTAGGCACGGGTGAGAACACTGAAACTCCACACAGGACCGTGTGAGGCAACAGTGTGAACCACTGCCCCATTAAAATCCCCGTGCATTAAAAGTTTGTTTGAGTTATTTAGTTAAATTGCTTCCTCATCCAGGAATATTTTAACATTAAATTTCAATGTTACTTTATTTATTTCTATAGTACCAAATCAGAAGAACAGCTGTCTCAAGTTGCTTTATATTGTAAGGCGAAGACCCTACAGTAAGACAGAGAAAGCCCCAACAAAAAGACAAACCCCTATATATAGAAGCACTTTTTAACAGGAAAAAACTCTGGGCATAACCAGGCTCAGGGAGGGGAGGCCATCTGCTGAGACCGGTTGGGAGGGAAGGGAGGAAGATAGGAGAGCCAGAGATTAATATTAAATAAAGAATAAATGCAGAGAGGTGTATAAACACATGGTGAGTGAAAAAGAAACACTCAGTGCATCATGGGAATTCCCCGGCAACTTAGACCTACTGCAGCATAACTAAGGGTCACCTGGTCCAGCCCTAACTATATGCTTTAGCAAAAGGAAAATTTTAAGCCTAATCTTGAAAGTAGAGATAGTGTCTGTCTCCTGAATCCATACTGGAAGCTGGTTCCACAGAAAACTGAAGGCTCTGCCTCCCGTTCTACTTTTAAATACTGTAGGAACAACAAGTATATTTATAAATTTGATTTTAACACGTTTATGTTCAAGATCTGTGGTATCATTGCTAGTCTGGAAGCCATGAGGGTTTCAGTATTTAAATTACACTGATGTCACGTGGAAAGCTGAAGCCTGCAGTACACATATACTGAAACTTTCAGTGATGTAAGACACATTTTGCTTTTACTCATAGGCCTGTATTATTTTCTATCAAATTTTCCTCTTTTTTAAAACAAATAGGGTCTCAAAATATATCTGGAGTTCATCTGCATAAAATCAACAACAACAAAACTATAGATTTTATTTTGTATAAAGGTGAGCAAACAGGTCATAAGATCCTACATTTGCAAATGTGTTGACAAAAACACGCCACACGTTTACTGCCCCTTAGCCCAGATGACATCAAGGTGAGCATTATCTTTCAAAAGCTTTTCCCATAAACGTGAGTCCAAAATCACCCACAGGTATTTATCATAATCGCACCATGTTTGTGCCCCCAACTGTTGAAACCACTCAAACCACCACAAAATGTTTGAAAACGTGCAGAGAAGAGAAGCGTTCCTCAGAACTAGACGTATAAGCAATTTACCCCCAATGCATATCAGACATATCCATCCCCTGGAGGGGGGGAGGGGGTGTCATTCACACTTTAAGAATTTTTCTGTGTTTACCAGTCTAACACTTGGCTACTTATCAAGAATACAGACTAGAGTGACTCATCTCGCCTTATAAGGTTTTTTTTTCATACCTCTGAAGGCACATGTGAAAGTGAATGGTTTTTGCACCTACAATGACTCTACAATGAGTCACCTCTGATCGTTACGTTCTTGTTAAATTTTGATCATCACATCTCATCCGTTTTTATACTAGGAATGAGAATACCTTTACCGCTCATCTGTGTCACACGTGTGGAAGCCTGTGCATTTGTTATGACTGTCCCCTCTTTCTCTCAGGTCTTTCTAGTGATGTCTCACCTATATACACCTCTTAGCCTGACGCAGGGGAAGATATCTGAAAAAAGTGACCATGAACAAGAATTTTGGTATTTAATAACATTTGTTTTTCTTTTTTTAGATATCGAGTAGCTGATTATGTAGGTACTGTATGTAAAAGAGAAAGGACTTATTGATAATTAGCTTTTTATTCTTCAAGACACCTGCTGCAATCGAATCAATAGCGTTTATGCGAATAGATAAAAACAGGCTTCCGTGTTAAATATTATTCTGCTATTTACAGTCAAGATAGGATTTCAACAAAACCTTGTTGAAATTGAATTTTAAATTGTTAAATTTTCTTTGAAAACAAATTATTATGACAGTTTTTTTTCATTTGTATCTTCAAAGTAATATACCTGAAACTCCTTCCGCCTTTGCTGAGCACTGACTGTGGCTACCTATGCAGATTTCGGCGGTCTCTGAAGAGACATAACGAACATGTCAGATGTGTCATCACCTGCTTTAGATGCCAGAATTAGTGTGAAATGACATCATTACTCAGTTGGGTCTGCCTTGCATTTATACCATTTATTAATTTATTTGGAGTAGACAAAAGTGGCAAAATACAGAGCGTGTTAAAACCCTGCCCTGAACTACCTTCTTCATTTGGTTGCCAGAGGAAATGATGTCAGAATGCACTTTAACACAGAGATACCCAGCTTCTGCTTCAGCAAGGTTATTTCCATCCGTACCATGGGAACAAGCATAAAGTGGCTGAAATGATGTAACACAGTGGGTGTGTGCATGTGTGTGTGTGTGTGTGGGGGGTCGTAATCACACGTTTTTTTGTTACCATGTTGTTGAGGTGTGGTGGTCTAAATGGGAATGCAGTGGTTAGCAGTTGTTAAAAAAAAACAATTCACCTGCTGCGACATGTGCGCCGCTTTTCATTTGCTTGCAGCGCTTCTGATAAGCTCTTCAAAAAGCACACCTGCACTATGCACCTGTCAATTTGTGCGTAATAAATATGTATTTGCATTCATTATCCAAATCCTGTGCCCCACAAAAAGTTTCAAAGGTTGCATTTCACACAAGTTTAAGGCAAGATCTTACATCTGAATCATTAGTTTGAACAAAGACTGCCGATGTACAGTGTCTCCTGCCACAGCTGCTCGTTGGTGAGGGTGAGGGTGAAAAAGAGGCAAGTAACAATTTGCAAGCGCAGGTTCTAGTTTAAGTAGAGAACAAATGCAGGGCAGCTAAACTGAGCCTAGTTTCTTGCTTCAAAATCCCCAAACCTTCACACATGTTCTGATAAAGAGTTTCTCAAAAGTTTAATAGATTACTGTTGATTACTGAGCTAGCATATGACTGAGAGTTGAACAAGAAAAGTGTGCAAATCAGTACTAGTTAGTGTTTGCAATGTGTCATCTCAGAGTGGTGATTTGTCTTGGGAATTGTCATTTTTGTACTGGTTTAGATTTTAACTAGTAGTGAGATGACATTTATTGATACCTGTGTTTGTCAGTGTTATGATTTAGTTTGCTACTGTGACTGGAATAAAAAGTCTACGATCAAGTTCAAACAGTTCAAATTGTTTTCAGTTATATCACAACATAAAGTGGTTAAAGTAGTTGTAGATTAGCACGCTCTTTCACGCCAGCAGGTCGCACAAAGAATTACCAGCAACCACCGATGGCTGCATGTCAAAAACTGTGGTTCTAATATGAATAATACAGAAATAAATCAATAAAGGCAACGTGGAAAAATACACACTGAGATGCAAATAAAAGAACACACTTAGATGCATATCATTCATATTGTAGTCATACTACAAAAACAACACAGCTGAAACATTTCCAATGTGTTTTGAAAAATATGTGTTCATTTCCAGAAATTTAGAACTGTGACGCCAAAAGGGAGGGAAAGTTGTGTAATACTTCAAAAAACATCCTCTGGAATATCTCACTACTAACTGAAGTTAACTGTCAGTGTCAGAGGGATGGAGTTTCTGAGAACTAAAAGGATTTCCCCGTGCTGCAAAAACACTGTGTGGGCATGAGTTCAGCAATGTATGACAAGGCCTTGTCAACATAAAATTGGTGAATTTATCATTTGTGATGCTTAAACGACTCAAAGATTCTAGAAAAACTTCTGAACACAATAGACAAGGTCAAAAACCAATAAAGGAAAAGATACGTGTGTATAACATGACACGGCTAATTGATTCTGTACCACACGGGCTCGGGAACGTCAATCATCTGACCACAGAACAGCTTTCCACTGAAGCCCAGCCTTAGTTCTGGTCCAGAGGAGACAGCAGCGTTTCTGGAAGTGTTCACGAGCCCGTGCACTCATTCAGAATGACAGAATCATCCTTGTTTTTATGTAGTGCTGCACGAGGACCCAAATATGACAGTGATCCAGTGCAGACTTTCAGCCGTGTGCCTCCTGCACAGAGATTTCTCTCAGAATCGTTTGAAGATGTTATGTACTATAGATAATCAGATTTTCATTATTTTAGCT